ACAAGAAGCTGACGAATGCACAGAGATCTGGTTTGAATCAGATCCCCAACAGACGATTCACTCTCTGGTGGTCACCTACTATCAACAGGGCTAACGTAAGTAGAGAAAAACTCTGTCACGCTACAGAAATAGTCACGCTACTGAAGTAGTCACGCTACTGAAATAGTCACGCTACAAACTTGACGACATTCATTCGTTCGCTCGCAGTGCGCGAATTTACTACAGATCCATTTGAAACACTCAAACATGCTACACCGTTGCGGTAACGGTCATCCTTTCACATACACACAACGTCTGCTCTAATTGCTCATGGTTTTAAAGTGCGCGGCCGCAACTCTTTTGACATGCGCTAAACCTTATACTTCGTATCATAGAACAGTTTTCGAATGACTGTGAAAAGCTCATGGCAAGAACACGGTCGTGACACAGCAAGGGATACGCCAGACCAATCACATTGCACGAGAATTTACTCTCCATCCAATCAAATACCCGGAACAAGGCATAAACACGGCGCGGACACGGTCACGCCAAGGTCACGGCACTGCCAGACCAATCACATTGCACGAGAAAAAAAAATCAGCAATTAAAATTCTTGAAAACATCGCCGGCACGGCACGGCACGCATACGGCACCGACTTTTTCACAGTCATACGAAAGCTGTTCTAATATCAAGCGGATTGAGACAATATTTTGTCATGAACATTTTGTCGTTCTTTATATTACAGGTATATGTTGGATTCCAAGTGCAGCTTGATCTGACGGGTATCTTTATGCAYGGTAAAATCCCTACACTCAAGATCTCACTCATCCAGATCTTCAGGGCTCATCTTTGGCAGAAGGTTCACGAGAGCGTCGTGATGGATCTCTGTCAGGTAATAATACTTTGTGTTGTCATCTCCGTTCGCCGGTTAACGGTTGAATTATTCTACTCGGGACAAGTTGTAAAAAGCCATAGGGCTGATATCAGTCTTTATATAAGATTGAATCAAAGATTAGCGCTACTCTGGCTTAGAACTACACTCAGGCAGGATAAGGTGGATATTTAGTGCTAACGTATGAGAAAACAGGAAAGGTTATGAAAAACAGGCATAACGCTGATGACCATTTTTTCTTTCTTTCTTATGGTTTATATCCTTATTTGACCCGAAAAGCCTAAAAAAATGACGTCCTGATAAGCCAGCCAGCGATGCGTGCACAAAATAGAGTATCAACGATAATCAGACTCATCAATATCCTGAGGATTAATAGCCAGTTGTCTTGTTTGTTCTTAGGTGTTTGATCAAGAACTAGATGCTCTAGAGATCGAGACGGTACAGAAAGAGACGATTCATCCACGTAAATCGTACAAGATGAACAGCTCGTGTGCCGATATTCTGCTGTTCGCTGCTTATAAGTGGAACATCTTCAAACCATCCCTTCTCGCCGACTCCAAGTGAGTTCACTGCTTCTCTCTTATGCCTTGTCAATATTTATGCGCTCTGTTTTTGCGCTGAAAGTTTCGTGTTCATATTAGCGTTTTCGAAAACGCAGATACATTCGGAATTAATGCGTTATGAGCTGCGCATGGGAAAAACAGACACACCCGTGTGAATAACTTTAGCGTTTATAAAAGGCGCTGATTATCGCTTATCCACACGAATACGACATGCCTCAGTTTTCAAATGTTTCAACTCTGGATAGTGTTTTCAAATGTATGCGTTTTCGTGTAGACGCAAGACCAAAAAGCATCGAAAAGTATTCGTTTTCCTGATTACCGTAGACGGGGGATTTTAGATAAATTATGTAAGATACAGAGTGTAAACATTTTGTTTTTGTGTATTAGTGACATGATGGATGGATCTGTCAGCCAGAAGTACTGGGTGGACGTACAGTTACGATGGGGTGACTACGATTCCCACGATATCGAACGATATGCACGTGCTAAGTTCCTGGACTACACCACAGACAACATGAGTATCTACCCCTCCCCTACTGGGGTACTGATTGCCCTTGATCTGGCTTACAATCTTCACAGGTATGCGAAGCACTTCACTTGCAAACACGTGGTTAGAAGGGAAATAGTAACTGGGGAATGACTTGAAAAGCCAGAAATCTCGTCTGTGGGCTCGCCACAGGGATCCCAAGCAATAAAGTGAAGCAACCTCTGACTTTCACTATTATTTATTTCAGTGCCTTTGGTAACTGGTTCCCTGGCATCAAGCCCTTGATACAACAAGCGATGGCTAAGATCATGAAGGCTAACCCTGCCCTGTATGTCCTGAGAGAACGTATCCGTAAAGCACTCCAGTTGTACTCYAGTGAGCCTACTGAACCGTACCTGTCGTCACAGAACTATGGAGAACTKTTCTCTAACCAGATTATCTGGTTCGTTGATGATACGAATGTCTATCGTGTCACGATTCATAAGGTAAGGTGACCAGATGTATGTAACCATTATGCAACACTTTGTTCCTTTAAGTCTTTTCTAAGTACGATTAACATGGTGCAATCTGATCTAGCTTGGGTATAAACCACACAAGACGAATCTTGATAACCAGAAGATATTTGTACCCGAGCTAGACCACAATGCACCATGTTAACTATGAGCAAAGATCTGTGATATTTCAGTTTTTAACTCCTACATTTTGTAACATTTTTGTTGGTTTTTAGACCTTTGAGGGTAATCTCACTACCAAACCCATCAATGGCGCCATCTTCATCTTCAATCCTCGCACAGGACAGCTGTTCTTGAAGATCATCCATACCTCTGTGTAAGTGTGTGTAAGTCTTCAATCCTCGCACAGGACAGCTGTTCTTGAAGATCATCCATACCTCTGTCTGGGCTGGTCAGAAACGTTTAGGACAGGTAAATACTTTAAAGGCTAGCGTTTTCCCCCGGGTTCTCTCCGTTTTACCTCCCTCCACGAAACCATTTACACCCGATTGCAGTTCGATATTAGAGTTAGACATTCGCAAAGTCCTCTGCCCTTCGTGTATCTTGATTCGGGTACCTCTCGCGACTTCGTTGCTCCCTTGCTACGCTAGCCAAATTCTCGCTTTGCCAAGAATAAAAAACTCCGCGGGAGACAAGAGAAGTCGAATTGGGGCAAGTCTATATTAGAGGTAGCCATGCTTTCTAATTCCATGAGGTTGAGTAATAATTTTATTTTTTGAATGTTAGCTCGCTAAATGGAAGACAGCCGAAGAAGTAGCTGCGTTGATTCGTTCGCTTCCGGTTGAAGAACAACCCAAGCAGATTATTGTCACAAGAAAAGGAATGTTGGACCCTCTCGAGGTAAGAATAGACAATGCTACGATGAATTAAAGTAGAGTTCTTGGTTACATTTCCAAAATAAGTAAAAATGGCGTCGATGAAATACAGGAGCAAAGATCTTATTTTGTTCTATTATTATTCCTTGTGATATTTACTTGTAAGGTTTTTGTTTAAGCAACATTATCGTTATCTTTTCAGGTTCATCTTCTTGATTTCCCTAACATCGTCATCAAGGGTAGCGAGTTACAACTACCTTTCCAGGCCTGCCTCAAGGTACGCTGTCACCATTGATGTATTGACACTTCGAGATGAAATTATTTTCCTACAGCTGCAAAACTTTTTTTTCCAGTATGACTCGGTCTTTGTCGATAATATAGCGAAGATTCTGCGCTCCTGCGAGTCCGTTTCTTGTTCATTTCTTGACACAAGACTAAACATGCATCAAGTTGTTGCAAGTTATCGAAAAACATGGCGATTGCAGGTCACATTGCGCGCAACACTTACAACTGCGCCATTGCTCTTGACACTGCTCTTATGCGCATCTTTTGAATCTTGTACACGCTGTAAAATATTTATGTATCGTATATCAGGTGGAGAAGCTGGGGAACCCATGAACACATAGCGATTGATGGTGTAACACCTTACGACTGCACCATTTCTTTTGACGTTGTGCTCAATTATTCAATCTTATTTGTTTATGTATCGTATATCAGGTGGAGAAGCTGGGAGATATGATCCTCAAAGCCACCGAACCTCAGATGGTACTATTCAACCTGTACGATGACTGGCTCAAGACTATCTCATCCTACACCGCATTCTCTCGTCTGATCCTGATCCTTAGAGCCTTGCACGTYAATGCTGATCGCACCAAGGTCATCCTTAAACCAGACAAAATGCTGATCGCACCAAGGTCATCCTTAAACCAGACAAGACCATCATTACTGAACCACATCATATCTGGCCTTCATTGTCAGATGAGGAATGGGTCAGCGTTGAAGTACAGCTAAAGGATCTTATCTTGGCTGATTATGGCAAGAAGAACAAGTAAGTTGGAAATACTTTACTTTGTAGAAATCACCTTGACTTGTGTCCTTTGATTGTTTTAGCGCCACTTTAAACAAAGGATAAAAATGATATTTACTTTGGAAATTAGAACAGTATTGCAATAAAACGTCGCCAACGAAGCTCTTTTTATTCTTTTCTCTCCCCAGTGTGAACGTGGCTTCATTGACGCAGTCCGAGATTCGTGACATCATTCTTGGTATGGAGATCTCTGCTCCTTCACAACAACGACAACAAATCGCCGAGATCGAAAAACAGACGAAAGAACAATCCCAACTGACAGCAACTACAACACGCACG